TCTTTCTCTCTCTCTCTCTTTCTCTCTCTGTCTCTCTCTCTTTCACTCTCTCTCTCTCTCTCTCTCTCTCTCTCTCTCTCTCTCTGTCCCATCAGTATTCTGAAGGGATTTAAGTCTGCAAAATAGGTCTAGTGACAAAGATGTTTCCAATATTTCTGTATTCAGTCAGCAGTTTCTAGAGATTTGATGTTGTCAATGTCTCTCTGATCTGTCATAATCATAAAGGATTTACGTCTCTGATGTATATAGATTTAGTGACACAGATATTTTTTTATGTTTCTGTGACCAGTCTGTGATCATCCTTGCCTTCCGAGAAGAACGTACGATGGAGGAGGAGAGGAGAGCCTGGGAGTTTTGGCACGGGAGACAGCACAGTTACAAACAGAGGATTCTCGACATTGGTCAGTGTTCTGTTGGGCTTAGGGTTAGCAATAATGTTTGTTTAAAAAAATGAACATGTACTTTTTTTTTAAAGTTCATGGTTGTCAGTGTTGTTGTTTCTAATAAATAATATTATGGCGTTGAAAGCTCAGAATTATCCAAGTTGCTGAATTAAACCTGTTGCTGTAAATTCAAGGATATCAATGTTTGTTTTTTTGTTAAGGTAGTTGTAAGCAGAGGGTTAAAAATGGTGTATTCAAATTTATATGCTCAGGGTTATTTGTCCGTTTTGCTAATGTGTACATGTTGATGGAAGTTTAGAGTAATCCACATTGATGTTTATCAGATACAAAACATTTAAATGTATGCGTATAATTAGAAATACCAAACGTATTGTGTTTTGTGGCGCAAATGTTTTGTACATTCATATCGTTTTAATAATGCAAGCTTGATTCATTCAATTTGTGTTTATGTCTTCCACTACTATACAATGTAACAAGAAACTGGTGGTTACAGGGCACCTGTTTAATGTTCTACTTGTTTTCTTTCTCCCTCCCTGCTGCTTCTGTCTGTTTCCCTTCCCCCCCCCCCCCCCCCCCCCCCCCCCCCCCCCCCCCCCCCCTGGCCATTACTGTGTAGACCTGCCTGTGATTGCTCAAACACATTTTGCTTTGATAGGACAGTATAAGAGCAGATATGGAGAAAAAGACATTAGGGATACGGCAGTGTAAGACCTACCATAAGGGACAAAAATTAGTGATATGACATTGTGAGAGCAGAGATTGGACATATTATGATACACTGCATAAGACATTATAAGAGCAGTCATTGGAAACAAGACATTAGAGATACAAAAGTGTAAGGGAACATGAAATTAGTGATGCAACATTATAAGAGCAGTCATTTGAAACAAGAAATTGGTGATATTATACTATGAGATCAGACATTGGACACAAGGCATTAATGATACAGCAGTATAAGGGAACATGAAACTACTGATACGACAGTGTGAGAGCAGACATTGAAAACAAGACATTAGTGATATGATACTTTGAGAGCTGACACTGGAAACAAGGTATTAGTGGTATGGTACTATGAGAGCAGACTTTGGACACAAGACGTTAGTGATACAGCAGTATAAACCCAGCCATTGGAAACTAGACGTTCATTAGAGACACGACAGTATACGACAAGCCATTTGAAACAGGACATTCATTAGAGATACGACAGTATACCACAAGCCATTGGGAAAAAGACATTAGTGATACAGCAGTATAAGACCAGCCATTGAAAAAAAAGACACTAGTGATGCGATACCCCACGGCTTGCACAACCAAGCGCAACTTGAAAATTTGATGTTCTAGACTAGGTCTTTGTGTTTTGGGAGAAACGTTAAAAACGAAATCTGCGGTTGACAAAACACAGTAGGGTGTCGAGATTTGAGCAAGGGGGCGG